CAGTTAAGTTTATCTGCCTTCAGTTCAATTCATGATCTTAGTGTCCTGTGATCAAGTCCCTCGTCAGGCTCTCTGCTCAGCAGAGTCTGCTTCTCCCTCTCCCTCTGTGATCTCTCTTACTTTCTCACTCTGTTTCAAATAAAGTTAAAAAAAAAAAAAGACACCATGAAAAAAAAGAGAACTGCTGGCCAATATCTCTGATGAACATAGACACAGAAGTCCTCAATAAAATACTAGTAAGCCAAATTGAACAATACACTATAAAAAATCATTCACCGTGATCAAGTGGGATTTATTACTGGGTTGCAAGGATGGTTCAATATTCACAAATAAATCACATGATGCATCACATCAGTAAGAGAAAGCATAAGAGCCATGTGAACATTTCAATAGATGGATAAAAAACATCTGACAAAGTACAACTCCATTCATGATTAAAACCCTCAACAAAGTAGGTTTAGATGGAATATACCTCAACATAATAAAGTCCATATTATGTGAACATAATAAAGTCACAGCTAACATCATTCTCAATGAGGAAAACCTGTGAGCTTTTCCCTTACCCTCAGGAACAAGGCAAGGATGTCCACTCTCATCACTATTATTCAACATGGTACTGGAAGTCCTAGCCACAGAAATAAGAAAACAAAAAGAAATAAAAGACATCCAAATTGGTAAGGAAGAAATAACACTTTCAGTATTTGCAGATGACATGATAGTATATATGGAAAACCCAAAATACTCCATACACACACACACACACACACACACACACACACAAACTGTTAGGAACTGATCAATGAATTCAGTAAGGTCATAGGATACAAAATTAATGTACAGAAATCTATTGTATTTCTATAGACCAATAATGAAGCAGTAGAAAGAGAAATTAATAAAGTAATCCAATTTACAACTGTATGCAAAATAATAAGATACATAGGAATAAACCTAACCAGAAAGATAAAAGCCCTGTACTCTGAAAACTATAAAACACCAATGAAAGAAATTGAGAAGACACAAAGAAATGGAAAGACATTCCACGCTCATGGATTGGAAGAAAAACTTTGTTAAAATGTCTATACTACCCAAAGCAATCTGCACATTTAATGCAATTCCTATTAAAATAACAAGTGTTGGGATCCCTGGGTGGCGCAGCGGTTTGGCGCCTGCCTTTGGCCCAGGGCGCGATCCTGGAGACCCGGGATCGAATCCCACGTCAGGCTCCCGGTGCATGGAACCTGCTTCTCCCTCTGCCTGTGTCTCTGCCTCTCTCTCTCTCACTGTGTGACTATCATAAATAAATAAAAAAAAAAAAAAAAAAAGAAGATACTCCCCCGTGTTTAAAAAAAAAAAAATAAAATAACAAGTGTTTTTCACACTAGAACAAACAATCAACATTTGTATGGAACCACAGAAGACCCTGAATCAATCTTGAAAAAGAAAAGCAAAGCTGGAGGTATCACAATTCTCAATTTCAAGTTATATTACAAAGATGCAAGAATCAAGACAGTATGGTACAGGCACAAAAATAGACACACAGATGGATAGAACAGAATAGAAAATCCAGAAGTAATAATATAATAATATTGTTAAATCAACTTGGACAAAGCAGGAAAGAATATCATCCAATACAGTAAAGACAATGTTTCCCATAAATGGTGTTGGGAAAACTGGACAGTTATATGCAAAAGAATGAAACTGGATCACTGTCTTACAACCACACATAAAAATAAATTCAAAATAGATTGAAGTCCTAAATGTGAAACTTAAGCCATAAAAATCATAGAAGCAAACACAGGCAGTTTAAACCACAAAGCGGTTTAGCACTTTGACATCAAATGCAGCAACATTTTTTTAGCTATGTCTCCTGAGGCAAGGGAAATAAAAGCAAACATAAACTATTGGGACTACATCAAAATAAAAATCTTCTGCACAGAAAAGGAAACAATCAATAAACCTAAGCAACCTGCAGAATGGCAGAAAAGATTTGCAAGTGATATATCTGATAAAGGATTAGTATCAAAAATATATAAAGAATTTATAAAACTTAACAACCCAAAAACAAATAATCCAAATAAAAAATGGACAGAAGATATGAAAAGATATTTTCCCAAAGAAGACCTACAGATGGCCAAAAGATACATTAAAAGATACTTATCATCACTCATCGTTAGAAAAATGCAAATCGGGATCCCTGGGTGGCGCAGCGGTTTGGCGCCTGCCTTTGGCCCAGGGCGCGATCCTGGAGACCCGGGATCGAGTCCCACATCGGGCTTCCGGTGCATGGAGCCTGCTTCTCCCTCTGCCTGTGTCTCTGCCTCTCTCTCTCTCTCTCTCTGTGACTATCATAAAAAAAAATTTAGAAAAATGCAAATCAAAACCATCTCACACCTGTCAAATTGCCTAAAATCAACAACACAAGAAATAACAGGTAATGGTGAAGATGTGGGAAAAAAGGAACACTGTGCACTGTTGGTGGGAATGCAAACTTGTGTGATAACTTTGGAAAACAGTATGGAGGCTTCTCAAAAAAGGGAAAAAAAGAAACTATGCTATGATCCAGCAATTGCATTACTGGGTATTTACCCAAAAGATACAAAAATACTAATTCAAATAGATATGTACATCTCTGTGTCTATAGCAGCATTATTTACAATAGCCAAATTATGGAAGCAGCCCATATGTCCATCAACTGATGAATGGATAAAGAAAGTGGTATAAACATACACAATGGAATGTTATTCAGTCATAAAAAAGAATGAGATGTTGCCATTTGCAAGGACATGACTGGAGCTAGGTTATATAAGGCTAAGTGAAATAAGTCAGTCAGAGAAAAACAAATAAATGCCATATGATTTCACTCATATGTGGAATTCAAAAGCCAAAAAGAATAAGGAGAGGAGGGGAAGAGAGACCAACCAAGAAACAGACTTAATTATAGATAACAAACTGATGGTGGTGGGTGGGAGGGCAGGTGAAATAGATGATGGGGATTAAGGAGTGCCCTTGCCATCATGAACACTGGGTGTTGTATGGAAGTATTAAAATCAGTATATCGGGGCACCCCAGGTGGCTCAGCTGCTGGTTTAGCGCTGCTTTCAGCCGAGGGCATGATCCTGGAGACCTGGGATCGAGTCCCACCTCAGGCTCCCTGCATAGAGCTTGCGTTGCCCTCTGCCTCTCTCTCTCTGTATGTGTCTCTCATGAATAAATAAAACCTTTTTTAAAAAATCAGTATATTGTATACCTGGAACTAATATAACACTGTATGTCAACTAACTGGAATTAAAATGAAAACTTTAAAAACCCTGAAGAACAATAAAATTATATCCTTATCTTACACCACTCACAAAAATTAACTTGAAATGGTTCACAGACTTAAACTTAAAACCTGATACCATAAAAGCCTTAGGAAAAAAAACATACAGAAGAAGCTCCTCAGTGTAGGTCTTGGCATTGATTTTCTGAACAGGACACCAAAAGCACAAACAGCAAAAACAAATATCAACAAGTTAGACTACATCAAATTTAAAGGCTTCTGCACATGAAAAAAACAATCAACAAAGGGAAAAGAAAACCCATGGAATGGGAAAAACTTTTTTGCAAACTATTAATTAGATAATGAGTTAATATCCAAAATATATAAAGAACTCATACAATTCCATAACAAAAAAGAATCTGATTACAAAATTGGCAGAGAAACTAAACAGATATTTTTCCAAAGAAGATATCCAAGTGCTCAACAGGCAGATGAAAAAAATGGTCAACATCACTAATTATCAAGAGAAATGGAATCAAAACCACAATGAGATATCACCTCACACCTGCTAAAATGGCTATGATCAAGAACACAAGGGGTGTTGGCAAGAATATGGAGAAAGCAAACCACTGTATGCTGTTAATGGGAAAGTAAAGTGGCTCAACTGCTATGGAAAACAACATGGAGGCCTATCAAAAAAAATTAAAAATAAGGATGTCTCGGTGGCTCAGTGGTGGAGCATCTGCCTTTGGCTCAGGTAGTGATCCTGGGGTCCTGAGATCGAGTCCTGCATATGTGTGTGTGTGTGTGTATATATATATATGTATATATATATATACACACATTTATATATATATACACATTTATATATACACACATTTATATATATATATATATATATATATATATATATACTCTCACGTTCATTGTAGCATTATTCACAGTTGCAAGGCACAGAAACAAAATAACCGCCTATACCAATGGATGAATGGATAAAAAGGATATGAGATACACACACAGGCATACGCACACACACACATAGGATATATTATTTGACAAAGAGAAAGGAGAACATCCTGCCATTTGCAACAACATAGATGGACCTTGAACATATAAGGCTGAATGAATAAGTCTGACAGAGGAAGACAAGTACTGTATAATATTTATATGTGGAATCTAGAAGAGCTAAATTTATTTTTAAAAAATGACAGTAAAATGGGGTTACTAGGGGATTGTGGGTGGGGGGATAGAAGACACTATTCAAAGGTACAAACTTACAAGTAGTAAATAAGTCCTAGAGATCTAATGCATAATATAATGAATATAGACAACAATATTGTAGGACAATCATCAAACTTGCTTAGACACTAGAACTTCATGATTCCAATCACAAGAAAGGATTATTATGTAATGTGACAGAGGTTCTAATTATTTCTACAATGGCAATCATTATAATATACTAATGTATCAAATTGACATATTGCATATACCTTAAATTTATACAATGCTATATGTCAAATATATATCTTAATAAAACTCTTTTCATAAAATAGCTAATCACAAGATCTTTCTAAACTACAACAGGCCAAGAGGAGGACAGGGAAAGAAAATGGAGGTTCCCTACATTTAAATAAAAGGAACTTATTCATGACATAGATATCCATCCAGTGCAGAGGAGTGCAGGTTGGGGAAGAAGGGAAAACCCAATACCTACTGATATTTTTTTCTTTGTCTCTTTCAGTGGACAGTTCTGGAAAAATCAGTAAGTTTGGATCATTTCTTGACCTTACCTATTTCTGTGTCTAGGACCTTTCAGTTTTTGTTACCCAATTTTTTTTTTATTTCACATTCTTCTACTTTAGAGTAGTCAATATTTCTTAAAGAAATGATGTTATTATACTTCAATTTCTTCTCTATTTCCCTTTTGGAACAAAATATAATGATCTTGTCTCATTACTCTGGTTATCGACTGCCAAAGATTATTGGTAGTATGTATACCCAGCTAGTTTATCACAAGGGAGGCTATTTTCCTTGTGCTATCATCTGGCAATGGTGAATTTTCACTAAAAAAAGAAAATCACCTAAAATTGACAGAAAAAATAAGTGTCAGGATGACACTAAGTGATGATTTTGAAAATTGGTCAACAATATACATTTTTTCAACTGATCTAAAGGACAGTGGGTAAAAAAACTGACTTGTGAGAGAACAATTAAAGTAGGAAATGCAATAGTTTGAAATTTGGTAGAATAGATATTACCTAGGATTCAATCCCATATATTAACAAATGGCATCCTAAAGAAAACCAGCTCTGTGAAGTAGGATGTGGAGCTTTAGTCAGCAGCACTCCTGAGGATGAAACAGAGGGTTTTATAGGACCTGAAGGTGCTGCTTCTGCATTCCTCTAAAAGGGTATTATTGGGAGTGAGACTTTACTTGAGTTAGAAAATTCCCTCTGATCAACCTTTTGTGTTTAATTTTTAGCAATATCTCCTATGGGTAAGTTCTTTATTCTCGACTATGATATTTTACATTGTTTATATTTTCTGGATTTGCTGTTTCTACTCCCAAATTAGAGATTTGTGTTTCTAAGATCATTTTAAGTGTTCCTATTCTCCAGAATTTTCTAATATTTTAAATAACTATTTTTGGAGAGACAGCTGTAGAGGATTTGATGAAGTTCGTACAAAAGGATGCTGTAATCTCTGGCCATCTTCTAGGCTCTGAAAAAAAATCTCCTTTCTAACTCCCAGCAAAATATAATGAAAGAAAGATTGGTTTCTAAATTGTGTGAGTTCTTTGCTAGTAACTTAGAACTCTTTTTTCGTTATAAGTGAAGGCCCAGTGAATCCGATTAACAGAAAAAATAACTAGTTAAGAAAAAACTTTATCTTGCCTTCTAAGTAATTCTACTTTTGAGGAATAGTAGGTACTGAGCCCCTCCATATACTATGCACCATGCTAGGCATTTTCAAAAACATTATCTCTTATTCTTATCATAGCCTGCCTGCTAGCTATTGTTATTCTACACTTCACAGATCAGTAAAATTGCTCAGACATTTGCCCAAGGTTAAAGAATTGGTAAACAGCACTGCCAAGACTTCCTGTCTCTGAATTACATACTTTCCATGCCAACACATTGCCTTCTATACTGAACCACAAATGCCTTTTTTGGGATTAGTCCTGAAACCATATCTATAAATAAAATGTTTCTAAATACAAATAGACATGCACTAGGGAAGATATATAATTAAATGTACACAAAAGAATCATTTTAAAAATAAAAGATATCAAAAAATAAAATAAAAATAAAAGATATCCCATTTAGATCAATGTTTGGCTTTTAACTGTTTTCTAAATTCAGATTTCCCATCAGGATTATTTAATGCCTCAGCTCTTCAAGAAAATCCTATGAAACACAATAATAATTTTTAAAACTCTGTAAATGTACAACCAAAGGAAGCAAGCAAAACTTAAATTTAGCATCTCAAACTTTCCAAACACTAACACAAAATATGTCTTTATATTTAATCATTCTTCTTTATCAGTTCACACTAGTAGAGTGGGTTTGTGAGTGGGAGGAGGAAAAGTTGAAAGGTATAATTGTTTTCTTTGCATTCACATTCACAGCACAGCATGACTGCTCTGAAGAATAAGCATTCAGAGCAGTCATGATGTATCTGCAGCTCACAAATGACATGGGGAAGGTGATAAGAGTGTGTGTTTTCTTTACAAAGAGAAAAAAGGCTTTGAGAAGGGACCATAGGCCAAGGCCCTCCCTGGAGGTGAATTCGTTTTTAATGAATTTTTTTAAATTGCCAGAAAAAAATCAGTTCAATCTTTAAAAATTTTTTCTCATAAAAGATATATTTTTGTTGACAAGAATATTTCAAACATATTCTTCCCAGTTGATATTTTTAGTGAAAAGAGATTAAAGTTTAATTCATGGTTCAAAGAAAGATTGAAGACAGATCAGCTCATTAAACTTCATCACCCTCTCAAGTTGATTCTCTTAACTTCTCATCTCCACATTCAGTTAACTAAGTGTATGATTTTTTTTTCCTAAATGTTAAGTCATGGACTGAGATCTACAATGAGTCATCCTCCTAATGCTTAACAGATCTTTATGCTCTAGATCTGAGTGTACTCTCTCTGGCAGCCACTGGATTAATAACCTAATAGGAATAATTTCCTAATAAAGCCATGGTTTAGTTGCTACATTATTTAAAGTTATTATATAATTAGAATTATTACTATGATAGCTAATTCATGATATCTTTTAGCTTTAACAAAAATTAATCCAGCTTAAAATCTTTAGGTACACTGAATACATTATAACAATTGTCAAGATCTTGGGGAAATATTCCCTTATAATTAGAATTTTGCCATATAGCCTACCACCTCCACTAAATGGACTTTCAGCTAGGGCTTACAAATCTTTATATCATGGAGATTATGAGATCTAAGGGGGAAAAAAAGATGTATGCACTAACTAGAAATTTGAAAGGAGAGGAAAGAACTTAGAATTTGATGGAATAATGATTTGCAGCTTACTTCTTCTATGCTATTAGGTTCAAGATAGAAAATATACAGCAAAGAATTAAAACAAAGATATGAAGATACTATTAGAAGTGACTATAAGTATTTTTTTAGTTTAGTGGGAAAAAATAAAATTCTTTAAAATACTATTAAAATTAGGAAAATTGTAGTTAGAATAAACATTGTTTCATTAAATCCTAGAATATTTTTATTAACAAAAATCTATATAATTTAGGACGTGAAGTTAGCTTAAAAATGGGTCTGCAGTACACAGTAGTAAATATGAAACTCCCAAGAGATGGTAGATATGCATATTAAGAAATATTAAGAAAAATTAGCTTGTTAAGGAGTGCATTCCACAGAATTTGTAAGGTTGGAAGCTTCAGTGGAAAAACATGCTCTTTTCCACACGACACCACATCCTCCCAAAAAACAAGTGTCTACTGGTAGTACTGTTAGATATCAAAATATTCTCAACTCTCTAAGTACTAAAATGCTTAGGATATTTTACTATTGATATTTATTAGTAAATTGGAAATGGCTTTGTTTAAAATAAAATGTCAGTACATTAGGGAGGAAAAAACACACTAAAGCATTATTGCAACATTCTTTTTTTTTAATAAATTAATTTTTTATTGGTGTTCAATTTACCAACATACAGAATAACACCCAGTGCTCATCCCGTCAAGTGTCCCCATCAGTGCCCGTCACCCATTCACCCCCACCCCCCGCCCTCCTCCCCTTCCACCACCCCTAGTTCGTTTCCCAGAGTTAGGAGTCTTTATGTTCTGTGTCCCTTTCTGATATTTCCCACACATTTCTTCTCCCTTCCCTTATATTCCCTTTCACTATTATTCATCTACCCCAAATGAATGAGAACATACACTGTTTGTCTTTCTCTGATTGACTTACTTCACTCAGCATAATACCCTCCAGTTCCATCCACGTTGAAGCAAATGGTGGGTATTTGTCATTTCTAATGGCTGAGTAATATTCCATTGTATCCATAGACCACATCTTCTTTGTCCATTCATCTTTCGATGGACACCGAGGCTCCTTCCACAGTTTGGCTATTGTGGACATGGCTGCTAGAAACATCGGGGTGCAGGTGTCCCGGGGTTTCATTGCATCTGTATCTTTGGGGTAAATCCCTAACAGTGCAATTGCTGGGTCGTAGGGCAGGTCTATTTTTAACTCTTTGAGGAACCTCCACACAGTTTTCCAGAGTGGCTGCATCAGTTCACATTCCCACCAACAGTGTAAGAGGGTTCCCTTTTCTCCGCATCCTCTCCAACATTTGTTGTTTCCTGCCTTGTTAATTTTCCCCATTCTCACTGGTGTGAGGTGGTATCTCATTGTGGTTTTGATTTGTATTTCCCTGATGGCAAGTGATGCAGAGCATTTTCTCATGTGCATGTTGGCCATGTCTATGTCTTCCTCTGTGAGATTTCTCTTCATGTCTTTTGCTCATTTCATGATTGGATTGTTTGTTTCTTTGCTGTTGAGTTTAATAAGTTCTTTATAGATTTTGGAAACTAGCCCTTTATCTGATATGTTATTTGCAAATATCTTCTCCCATTCTGTAGGTTGTCTTTTAGTTCTGTTGACTGTATCCTTTGCTGTGCAAAAGCTTCTTATCTTGATGAAGTCCCAATAATTCATTTTTGCTTTTGTTTCTTTTGCTTTTATGGATGTATCTTGCAAGAAGTTACTGTGGCCAAGTTCAAAAAGGGTGTTGCCTGTGTTCTCCTCTAGCATTTTGATGGAATCTTGTCTCACGTTTAGATCTTTCATCCATTTTGAGTTTATCTTTGTGTATGGTGCAAGAGAGTGGTCTAGTTTCATTCTTCTGCATGTGGATGTCCAATTTTCCCAGCACCATTTGTTGAAGAGACTGTCTTTCTTCCAGTGGATAGTCTTTCCTCCTTTATCCAATATTAGTTGACCATAAAGTTCAGGGTTCACTTCTGGGTTCTCTATTCTGTTCCATTGATCTATGTGTCTGTTTTTGTGCCAGTACCACACTGTCTTGACCACAGCTTTGTAGTACAACCTGAAGTCTGGCATTGTGATGCCCCCAGATATGGTTTTCTTTTGAAAAACTCCCCTGGCTATTTGGGGTCTTTTCTGATTCCACACAAATCTTAAAATAATTTGTTCTAACCTTCTGAACAAAGTCCATGGTATTCTAATAGGGATTGCATTAAACGTGCAAATTGTCCTGGGTAACATTGACATTTTCACAATATTAATTCTGCCATCCATGAGCATGGAATATTTTTCCATCTCTTTGTGTCTTCCTCAATTTCTTTCAGAAGTGTTCTATAGTTTTTAGGGTATAGATCCTTTACCTCTTTGGTTAGGTTTATTCCTAGGTATCTTATGCTTTTGGGTGCAATTGTAAATGGGATGGACTCCTTAATTTCTTTCTTCAGTCTCATTGTTAGTGTATAGAAATGCCATTGATTTCTGGGCATTGATTTTGTATCCTGCCACGCTACCAAATTGCTGTATGAGTTCTAGCAATCTTGGGGTGGAGGCTTTTGGGTTTTCTATGTCGAGTATCATGTCATCGGCGAAGAGGGAGAGTTTGACTTCTTTGCCAATTTGAATGCCTTTAATGTCTTTTTGTTGTCTGATTGCTGAGGCTAGGACTTCCAGTACTATGTTGAAGAGCAGTGGTGAGAGTGGACAACCCTGTCTATTCCTGATCTTAGGGGAAAGGCTCCCAGTGCTTCCCCATTGAGAATGATATTTGCTGTGGGCTTTTCGTAGATGACTTTTAAGATGTTGAGGAATGTTCCCTCTATCTCTGCTGTATTTTGTCAAATGCTTTCTCTGCATCTAATGAGAGGATCATATGGTTCTTGGTTTTTCTCTTGCTGATATGATGAATCACATTGATTGTGTTACCAGTGTTGAACCAGCCTTGTGTCCCGGGGAAAATCCTACTCGGTCATGGTGAATAATTTTCTTAATGTGTTGTTGGATCCTATTGGCTACTATCTTGTTGAGAATTTTTGCATCCATGTTCATCAGGGATATTGGTCTGTAATTCTCCTGTAATAAGTGTATTATTATCTAAGTATTTCTTCACTTTGGTTAATAATTCGTTTAAGTATTTGGCAGCTCCCAAGTATTTGCAAGCTTCACTATTAGATGTCGAGGTGTTGAACGGTTTTTATTGATTTTAGGGGGGGATCTCTCTATTTCCTGGATCTGAATGCCTATTTCCCTTCCCAGATTCGGAAAGTTTTAGCTAGGATTTGTTCAAATACATATTCTGGCCCTCTGTCCCTTTCGGCGCCCTCGGGAACCCCAATTAAACGTAGGTTTTTCTTCCTTAGGCTGTCATTTATTTCCCTTAATCTGTCTTCATGATCTTTTAATTGCCTGTCTCTTTTTTCCTCAGTTTCCCTCTTTGCCATTAACTTGTCTTCTATGTCACTCACTCGTTCTTCCACCTCGTTAACCCTCGTCGTTAGGACTTCTAGTTTGGATTGCATCTCATTCAATTGATTTTTAATTTCTGCCTGATTGGATCTAAATTCTGCAGTCATGAAGTCTCTTGAGTCCTTAATGCTTTTCTCTAGAGCCACCAGTAGCTGTATAATAGTGCTTCTGAATTGGCTTTCTGACATTGAATTGTAATCCAGATTTTGTAACTCTGTGGGAAGAGAGGCCTGTTTCTGATTCTTTCTTTTGAGGTGAGGTTTTCCTTCTAGTCATTTTGCTCAGTGCAGAGTGGCCAAAAACAAGTTGTATTGGGAAAAGGAGAGAAAGAGAGAGAAGGAAAGAAAAGAGAAAAAGAAAAAAGAAAAAAAAAAGGAAAAAAGAGAAGAAAAAGAGAAAGAAAAAGAAAGGTGGGAAAAAGGGGGGGTGGGGGAAGTAATCAGAAATCAAAAAGAAAAGAAAAAAGAAAAAAAAAAAAAACCACGGGGGAGTATCTTCTGAATCTGTAGACTTTAAGTCCCTTGACTTCCCCTGGAACTGGTCCGTCCAGCTGGTCTTCTGGGGGAGGGGCCTGCTGTGCTGATTTTCAGGTGTTAGCACTTGGGGGAGCTGCTCTGCCCCCTGCCTGGTGCAGGGCTCAGCGGGGGTTGTTTACCCCGTGAGGCCCCAGGAGGAACAGCCCCAGTGGCTATGGCTCTGGAAGCCTGGATTTAGCCCCCGCAATAACTACGGGGCTCTCCGTCCGCAGGGCCTGGAGGCTCCGGGGCGGGGCCGCTGATGTGCTCAGCTCGGGGCAGGAGCGTCCTTGCTGTCCTGGGCCCTCCCGGCCTCTGCCTGTCCCGGGGGAGGCCGGATCCTGGGCTGTGTCCCGGCGCCCTGTGCCCCGGGGCCTGCGCTGGTGGATTCGCGCTCCCGCCCCGCAGCCCCCTCCGCGGAGCCGCCGCCCGAGCCCCTCCGAGCTGCTCCGGGTCCCGCCGTGCGCGCTGCAGCCCTTAGGGAGCTCGGAGCACTCTCCTGCGCTCGCAGGTGTCTGTTAGTGTCCCCGGGAGCCCGAGGGCATCCCCAACCTCCTGGGTCCTGCTCCAACTCCCTGCGGGCCCCTTTCCGCCCGGGAAGGTTGGTGCAGCTCCTGCTCCTCCGGGACGGGGCTCTCCTGTCCTGGGGACACTCGCCCCGGCCTCAGCCCGGCTCCTCCGGGGCCCCTCCCCCTCGGAGGCCTTTTGTTCCTTTATTTCTTTTTCCCCGTCTTCCTCCCTTGATAGAAGCGTGAACTCCTCTCACTGTAGCATTCCAGCTGGTCTCTCTTTAAATCTCAGGCCGAATTCGTAGATTTTCAGGATGGTTTGAAGGTCATCTAGGTAATTTGGTGGGGACAGGTGACTTGGGGACCCTACTTTCCGCCATCTTGCCCCTCCCCTTATTGCAACATTCTTAGTGTTATTTTCATTTTGTGTCAGAACCTAAAATATCAAAAAGGAAACACTACAACATCTCTTTTGATTTATACTTACCTTCTTATCTAATGCAGGCGTGTCACGTTTTACTATTTGTTTTTTGGTTATGTGTATGTCAATATTTCAGACATCAAACCCTAAACATATTAAAAGGTTTTCTATGAAAAGAAAAGGGTCAAATCTTAAGCAAGAAATCTTCCTGTAAAGCAATTAACCATTTCTCTAAAGTATTGGTTGGAACTAAGAATGCCTTGTCTTAATAGATCAGAGAGAGTTTTTGCCTGTATGATCTAATTGGTAGTAATAATAGCCTATATTTGTTGGACAATTTTACTATGTTCCATGCACTATACTGAGTGCTTTACTTAGATTATTTAATCCTCATAACACTTCTATGAAGTACCTACTACTATTGTACCCATTTTACAAATAAGAAAGTAAGGTTTGCCCAAACTCACCTGGTTGGTTAGGTATGAAGCCAGGATTTGAAACAGTCTGTTAGTAAAAGCCATGCTTCTTAAATATTTCCTTAGAATCCTTAACTCTAAAGTAGGCAGAGGAAACAAAATAAAAGGAAGATGAATCTTATATGGTCTCATTCATTTGGGGAATATAAAAAATAGTGAAAGGGAATAAAGGGGAAAGGAGAGAAAATGAGTGGGAAATATCAGAGAGGGAGACAGAACATGAGAGACTCCTAACTCTGGGAAAGGAACAAGTGGTGGTGGAAGGGGGGGTGGGCGGGGGGTTGGGGTGATTGGGTGATGGGCACTGAGGGAGGCACTTGACGGGATGAGCACTGGGTGTTATGCTATATGTTGGCAAAGTGAATTCCAATTTAAAAAATTAAAAAAAAAAAAGGAAGGTGAATCTTTGGGATTAACTGATTTTCCCTAACAAACCCAGCTAGCAAGAATACTATACCCAGGTGTTCTGATTCAGCTTTTAAACTCAGTATTCTTTCTACCCCATTAAATATTTAAATAGGTTTTCTTATAGGAAGGTGTGCCACTCCTCCATAGCAAGAACCCGCAGAATTTTTCCTGGTAGCATAAATTATTTTTTCTTAATCCAGGAAACCAAATCACTAAAATAAGAAAAAATAAAGCAGAAGCTAAAAATTCAGTTTATTAGATCACACAGAAGTTGAGACATAGTAGAGTTGACTTACCTGTACATGGAAAAAGGGACCAGAAAGTTTTGCAAAGTAAGTTTGCCATTATCATAAGGAACAGTCTAAGGTATTGGTTAAGACTGAACTCTGAAGTCTGACTCATTTCAAATCCCAGCTCCACCACTGAATAACTCCATGGCCATATTCACATTCATTTACTCAATTTCTTCATCTGTAAAATGGGAATAATAATAGTACCTGCACTTTTAGTTGTGAGAATTAGGTGAATTAATGTTTTATATAAAATGCTCAGAACAGGGAGTGCCTGATGCCTGATAAGTACCCAATAATTACCAGCTAGTACTATTATTACTTTTGATTGAGAGGACATTCTTATATTTAATACTCAAAGCAGATTTTGAGTTTTTTTCTATTTTAAGAAACAATTATTACTTCTTTCCACAATTTTTCTAAAAATAAATTCCATTTCTTTTCAGAACACATCCTCCTTTAGCTACTAAGCATTAATTATCAGCCATAATATACTGAACAAAAGCGGCCAGTTCATTTATAGTTCATTAATCTTCCAATTTGTTAAAGAGAATCTGGAATATTATCAATACTTGTATAATTTAAGTGTAGAGTTCCATCATTTTATATTTTCAGGAAATCTCAAGCTATCTTCAGTTTTTCAGTTTTAAGACAAAAAAATAAACCAATATCAGGGGGAAAAGTAGCAATAAAGAGAAAGTACTTGATATCTGAATTGTGCACTTTTGTTATGTGCTCAGTTATATTTCCAGGTTGCATGGATGCAGAACTTGCAAAAAAATCAGATTTCAAGGCCCAGATTCTAAAAAATGGAGCCACTACAAAGTCTGACAGCAGCCAAGAAGAAAACAAGAAAACACTAAAGAAGGAAATTTTAGTCATAGACTCTGATGAATCCTTGACATCAAGGCACAAAACAGAGTCAAAATGGAAAACAAAAGGCATTGAGTTGGAGAACGGAAGGATAGGAATGGGGATCATAGAAAAGGAGAGTGAGACCAGGATACTAAGAGAGGAAGACCAAGTAAAAATGAGTGACATGGGAATACCAAAAGGAGAGGAAACCCAAGTAAAGAGGAGAGAGTCCAGAATACCACAAGGACAGGAGTCCCAAGTAGAGAATAATGAAGCTGGAATATCAGAAGGACAAGAGTCCCAAGTAGAGAGTAATGAAGCTGGAATACCAGAAGGACAGGACTACCAAGTAGAAAATAATGAAGATGAAATACCACAAGAGCAGGAGTACCAAGTAGAGAAAAATGGGTCTGAAATACTGCAAGTTCAGGAACCTCAAGTAAAGGAAGAGAATTCTGAGGATCAAATAAAGCAAGACAAAGGAAAGGAAGATGCAAGGAAGAAGAAAGATACAGAAGAAAATGATGCTATGAAAAAAAGGGATGTAGGAAAGTACAAAGTTAAAAGAAGGAAAGAATCAGAAGTCAAGAGTAAAAAAAAAGAAGGTTCACTAAGGAGCAAAGGCAAGTAAGGGAAGAAAGTACAACAAAAAGATGAAAAGAATAAGGGTAAAATAAAGGAAGGCTCATAAAGTCAACTGATTATTCTGATTCCCATCCTCCAGATACAAGTCACAACCCAGTTATCGCTAAATGGATCATAATTATAAAATCCCTTTAATTTATACATCTATAGAGTGCCTACTATAGATGTTTCACCATTTTTAGTTCTCTTAACCACAAATCTCACCTTTTAATTCTTGGTTTTCTAAGTTGATACTTTTATGGGCTTAGTCAAGAAAGACTGGATACTTTCTGAAATAAAACATTCTGATTAAAGAAATGTATAATTTCCTTTGGCGATGATGATATTAACTCAGTGACAGTGTAACCAAGCAACCAATCAATGCTCCTCATGCTAAGCTCAATGTTCATGAGGCACCGGCACCGTTCTAGCAATAAGGGTTACAGAAAAATATGTCTGACTCTGCAACAAAATAGCTTTTAACACATATAGTGATATAATATGTGTACACAGGACAATCTTTTAAAAGTAAAATCTGTCAAATTGTAGTTTAGATGGATGGTATGAGTTAGCAGCCTCTTGGAAAAAGAAGATAAAGGGGACTTCGTGGGGAAGGGAATGGTGGTTGGTATATGTGTCTCGAAAGATGGATAAGATGTTGATACACTGAGTGAGGTAGGAAAAGTACAAGAAAGGCAAAGGAATTCAATGCTGCCACACCATGCTCTAGGAGAAGTAGGCAATTTTATCGTTACAGCAGGCTCAGAAGAAGCACTCTGGATACAATTCTGTAAAGGAGAGTTAGAAGAAGATTCTGAAGGGATATGAAAACAAACTAGGAATTTATACTTTATTCATCAGGCAACTGGGAAGTCTTCTAGGGTATTTGGGAAGGAGAGTTAGGTGAATAAGGTTGCATTACTAAAGTGTGCAACCTTGTGATTGTACAAAATAGACTGAGGAGGAGAAACATCATAGGTAGTAAATCTAGTGAAGAGATGTTTGGAGTAATAAGTGACGGAAAGAGACTAAATAGAAGATAGATATGAGGTATTTTTTCAAAGAAGAAATCACTACTTCATGATGACTACATATAAGTAGGGAAAAGAAAAAAATGATAACTTCATAACTTTTGAAACTGGGTGACAAAAAATCCATAACAAACTGGGAGCTAACTTGTAGGACAGGGAGGCAATAACAAATTGCTGAGTTAAACAAACTAACACTTGTCATTTGAGAGGAGGCTGAAGTCAGTCCGGTAGAGATAACTGAAGCCATAGAATAAATGAGTTCCCCAACGAAGAAAGTACAGAGCTAGCAAAAGCACAGGTCCAAGAACTGAGCCTGTTAGATATAATAGGTCAAAGAAAAAAATTAAGGTATGAGAAGATGTAAGGAAAATCTGTACAACAAATGTTCTGATAACGAAAGATGAGAATTTAAAGAAAGGATGGTTAAAGAAGTATATTCCACAGAATTTGTCAACAAATAAGTCAAACATTTTCATTTCCGCTAGATCTTGAAAGCAAATAAGTAATATAATAATATAAATCATATAATAGGAAACTACAACTATGAAAATTGTTTGCCATTCTCTAAAGGCCACCAAAAGGCAGGCCAGTTAAAAACAATTGCTAATCTTCCCTTACAGATACAGGTATGGAAGTTTTAAAGGACCCTAGAAGAAGGAAGGAGAAAGGAGTGAGCTATCAAAATAACACCATGCTTAGCAAAATGATGCAAATACTAGGAAAATGAATAAGTACATGGAATTTCAAGATAATTTAGATATAAAGATAGTAAAGTAGGACTTAAAAAATTAAGTGGTAAATTTTGTTTCACAAATAAGCTAATATACATGTCAAATCCCTGTTCACATATGCCCTGCTTAGATCTTAAAAGTTCTTATCACGAGGAAAAAAGAAAATTTGTAACCATGTGAGGTGACCCATGTTAACTAAACTTATTATGGTAATCATTTCATAATATATAATATATCATTAGGTCAAACACCTTAAACTTAAACTATGTCGTATGTCAATTACAGCTCAACAAAACTCGGTGGGGGGGATCAAGTCTTCTACCTTAAATATGTACAATTTTTGTCAGTTTTATCTCAATAAACACAGAAAAAAGAATGAGTAGACGTCTTACCTTTAGTCATTTTATGTGTAGGAAAAGAGCATATAGCATATGTAAGGAAAAGCAGGAAATTGAATTTAAAGATAACAAAGCTGAATAAGAAATGCCAAGATATTGGGAAGTAAACAATTTGTGTAAAATCAGATAATGTGGCTCTTACCCCAATTAAGGATTTCCTAGGTTAGAACTGCATTAAAAGTGCAATTTACCTTTGCTCACAAATATCTCCTGCCCCAGGTTATAACTAGCATATCTAAGAAATGAATACAGGGAACTGGTGAAAAAGGAAAAGCAGGATTCCTGGATGTCTTAGGGGTTGAGCATCTGCCTTTGGCTCAGGGCATGATCCCAGAGTCCTGGGATCAAGACCCACATTGGGCTCCATGCATGGAGCCTCCTTCTCCCTCTGCCTGTGTGTGTGTGTGTGTGTGTGTGTGTGTGTGTGATGAATAAATAAATAAAATCTTTAAAAAAGGAAAAGCATAGAATTTAAAACAGGATTCAAAGGGATAAAAGGCTAAACCAAAAAATTGATCAGAATATTCAGTTTTACATTGGATGAAATTTCATTACCCTCGTTTTAAAACAATTAAGAATAGGAGAATCAGCCACTGTCACTACTCTGTACCTGATGGGTCCCAATTAGGTTTTGAAGAAATAGAAGCCTGTTTTTCTAGTGTTTGAGAACTTATCCATCATCATCCAAAATCTTAACCATCTGACAAGGCTAGGAAGTAAAATCTAAGAGATACCACACTACAGATTATATACATTGTAACCCAGTTCTCAAAAATATTTTATTTAAATCTTTATTAAATTTCTCTGCAAAAATTAAAAACTTGTGATGTTATCAGTGTTAACTTCCTATGGATCTCTATCTTAATCCATGCTCATATAAATATATATGTGCAAATGGAGTCAACCTACACACATCATTCTGCAACTTGATTTTTTCAACTAACATTATGTCACGTGCATCACTCCAAGTCAAAGGACATCACTCTTTTTTTTTAATAAATTAATTTTTATTGGTGTTCAATTTACCAACATACAGAATAACACCCAGTGCTCATCCCGTCAAGTGTCCCCCTCAGTGCCCGTCACCCTTTCACCCCCACCCCCTGGCCGCCTCCCCCTCCACCACCCCTAGTTCGTTTCCCAGAGTTAGGAGTCTTTATGTTCTGTGAAAGGACATCACTCTAAAGCATTATTATTACAGTAGAGTGGATGAATTACTGTATATTCAACCAATTCTTTAACAATGGACTTTGCTTGTTTTTCAGCTTTTTTGCCATGGGCCAAATGGTGCTATAATAAACATCTTGGTACATGTTAAGGATTTTATTTCTCTAGGATAGATTTCCAAAAGTGAAATTGGAAAGTCAAGAGAAAAAGAAAATACATATTTTTAGTGCTAATGAAAATATTTTTAATGTTAATGAAAATATGTAATCACTTTCCCCAAAATCCGTAACCATTCACATTCTGACCAGGGATGTCTGAGCTCTATTTTCCCCACATTCTCACTGGTGCTACAAACAGCAGCTACTGAGAAAAATAATAATGAGAAATGTAGTAGCTAACTCTTTTTTGTCTCTGTCATGGGGAAAGTAATGTCTAACTCTTGCTTTCATTGCATTTCCCTAACACCTAGTGAGACTGAGCATTTCTTACAGGCTTCTTAGTCTTTTTGACTTGCTCTTCTGTGAATTATTCATTTACTATAATGGTGGTTTGTCCTTTTCTTATTCAATTTCAATTCAAGTAGAAGCTTTTTGTCTATTAATGTTTTTCACCTACCATATGTGTTCAAAAATTTTTTTTCTCAATTTGCTTGTTGTTGCTCTACATCCAATCATTCATCCTGTCCCCTAAAATTATATCCTGAAGCTGACACTTCTCACCTCCTTATCAGGTAATCCAAGCCTTCACCACAGCTCACCTGCACTGCTGTGATAGCCTCTGAAGAGAGCTCTTGATCTCATTCCCCACTCTCAGCCTACTGTCCGAATCATACTTTTGTTCTAATTATTTTTTTCTGATTTTATTTATTTATTCATGAGAGACACAGAGAGATAGAGAGGCAGAGACACAGGCAGAGGAAGAAGCAGGCTCCATGCAGGGAGCCCAATGTGGGACTTAATCCCAGGACTATAGGATCACACCCTGAGCTGAAGGCAGACGCTTAACCTCTGAGCCACCCAGACGTCCCATGTTCTAATTATTTTCTAATTTTATTTTGAGATAGAGAGCACACAAACATGACAGGGCAGAGAGGGGAGAGAGAGAATCTCAAACAGGTCCCATGCCCAATGTAGAGCCCAATATGGGCTCCATCTCACTATCCTGAGATCATGATTTAAGCTGAAACCAAGAAGAGTCAGATGCTTAACCAAATGAACCACCCAGGCAACCCAGAATCCTACTTTTAAAATGTAAATTAGATCATGTTACTTCTCTGCTCAAGGCTTTCCAAAGGTCTTCCAATCACTTTAGTGTAAAAGTAAAAAGCTCTCAAGACTTCAAGGCCTCATAGTACACAGTTTCTGGCTTCTCCAGCCTCATTTCCCAGTGTCTCTCTCATTGCTGCAGCCACACTGTGGCTTCATTGTTCTCCATACCTGCCAAGCATGGTACTGCAGGTCTTCCTGGAACACTCTCCCTGAAACATTTGCACAACTCATTTCCTCACTTCTTTAAGATGTCAGTGAAAATATGACTACCCTAACTAAAACAGTATTTCTCCCCTCTCTATCCCTTTGTCCTGATTTCTTTTTCTTCATAGCATTTATTACTACCTCACATTACATATTTATGTATTTTTTGACTTTCTGCTCCCATAGAACATAAACTCTGAAGACAAGCACCATGTTTTATTCACTGCTGAATATCTAGTGCTTAAAAAAGTATC